AAATGGGGAGAAAATATTTGCAAAAAACATATCTGATAAGGGATATGTTATATATCAATATATATATTTATCCAAGCTATACAAAGAATGCTTAAAATTCAACAATAAGAAAACAGTGTTGTTGGAAAAAAATGGACCACAATGGACCAAAGACACCTCACCAAAGAAAATATACAGATGACCACTAAGCATATAAAAAGATGCTCCACATCATCTGTCATCAGGGAAATGCAAATTAAAATAATGATGAGATACCACTACACACCTAATAGGATGGCCAAAATCCAGAACACTGATAATGCCAAATGTTAGCAAGGATACAAAATAACATGAACACTCATCGATTGCTGGTGGAAATGCAAAAGGGTATGGTCAACTTTGAAAGACAGTTTAATGGTTTCTTACAAAACTAAACATTCTTACTATATGATCCAGCAATAGCCCTGCGGAAAGCATTTCCATATTTCCTCAGAATGTTGTAGAACTTCTTTGGAATCATTGCAAGTAATGGCAGAAAAGAGAAAAGATTCAAGGACTTGTTTCCGGCTGCTCAAGCTTGCTCTAATTAACTACTCCACTCATATGTTCTACCTCTTTAGGCTTTTGGATAAAAGTCCATTTGTATAAGAATTCTGATGAGAGCTTAAAAACATTTATTCAGAATAATTATTTATCATTTATATATTCTTATGTTTCTTGATCCTCATTTTCTGAAACAAATTGCACCTATAAATTTATTGCCTCTATTTTAAAATTTAAAAATCCCAAATAGAAGTTTAGGGTTTTCTTTTAAGCCTCAGGGCTAGAAATATTAGAAATAGCAAAGAGAAAAAAGTAATTACAAAAAATGAACAAGACAAACAAAAACTTATAGACACAGACAGCAGTTTAGTGGTTACCAGACAAAAGAGGGGAAGGGGGAAGTAGGTAAGGGTAAAGAGGGTCAAATATACAGTGATGAAAGGAGATTTGGCTTTAGTTGGTGAACACACAATGCAATATACAGATGATGTATTATTGAATTGTACACTTGAAACCTATATAATTTTACTAATCTATGTCATCACAATAAACTTAATTAAAAAATAATTACACAATAATAAACATTAAGGTCCAAAAATAAGTATTCAAGTAAGACAATAAAAATACAAACCAAACAACTGGGGAAACCCCTACATTTTGTCTAGTCACAGAAGTTCAGTTTCACTCTATTCCAGGACCCCCACTACTGTACTGAACTCAGCTAGGTCAACTGGTCAGTGCACTGGTCAGTCAACTGGTAAGGCAAATTAGAAGGAGGTTTGATGGATAATGCAGCAAATAAACCCTTGGAGAAATAAACCCTCTTATGAGTGGATCAAGAGCATCTTTATCACTATTGAAAGATAGTTTTACTTTGGGCTGAAAATGTCATAGCGTCAGACTGACCAGACACCATGATAATGATGGAGATTAGTACTGCCAAAGTTGAAGTCCTCCCCAAAGTATGCATTTGGAGTGTTTTTCTTCTTTAACAAAAATTCACTGTAAATCAATTAGTAAACTCAGTGAACCTTTCTTTGGTCACAGTTGCTTACCCTCAGTTAACAGGATTGCTTGTTGTTTTTCTTCACCAGTTTGCTATGTATTTATCTTTATCTCCATCTCCATTCTGTATGCTTTTAGGTGATGGATCACTGACAGGAAACCTCAGTAAGTTTTGCTGAGTACTAAAGCAAAAAAACCAATGCTTATTACTCATTCGTCCCCCCACAGCACTGAAGTGACAAAATAAATTATAGAGCAATTCATTTAAGAAGTAGCATGTCTGGAAGAATAAGTTACATATGGTAAAATACACAAATCTTAAGCGCACAGCTTGATGAATTTTTACATATAGATGCTCTCAGAAAATCACCTCCAAAACCAAGATAAGACCATATCCATTACTCAAGAACTTTATTTCATGCTTCTTCTCTGTCAATATCCCTTCTCCATAAACACTATTCTAACTTCTATCATCATTTTGCCAGCTTTTGAACTTCATATAAACAAAGTTCTTCACATAATTTATTTTTTAATGTTGCATTGTGTTTTGGAATGAATATACCATATTTTATTTATTCATTTCTCTGTGAATTTAATTTTTCCAGTTCAAAGTATATAAATATTTTTATTTTGTACATATCTTTTGGTCTACATATGTATTTATTTTACTGGGTATATACCTAAGAATAAAACTGAGGAGTCATAGGATAAATATATGCATGGCTTTAATAAATACCTCCTCTTATGAGTTGAATTGTGTCCCCTCAAAATTCACATCTTGAAGTTCTAAACCCTAGCACTTCAGAATGTGACCTTATTTGGAAATAAGGTAATTGAAGATGTAATTAGTTCAGTTGAGGCCACACTGGAGTAGGTTGGTCCATAATCCAATATGACTGGTGTCCTTATAAGAAGAGGATTTTGGACACAAACATGCACTCAAGGAGAATGCCATGTAAAGATGAAGGCAGAGATTAGTGGTGCCAATGAATGCCAAAGATGTCCAGCAGATTACCAGAAGCTGGGAGAGTAGCAAGGAAGAATCTTCCTCTCTGTTTTAGAAGCTTTAAGATTTTTTTTTTTTTTTTGATGCTGGAACATAAAGATATGAAAAGTGGAACTCTTAAAGCTTCAAAAATGAGATGGCTGCCATACAAAAGTCACACAGGATTTGTACTCGTAGACATGGTTCCACCAAACTGGAACTGTAGTGTACACGTTACATATGACAAGTAAGATGGGGTTGGGTGTCCAGGGCTCCTGGAATGGTTAATTTGAATAATTTCTCAGATGTCTGTGTGTTTGTTTTTAGGGCTGTCCCTTGCTGAGGTAATGAGAGTGGGGGCACAGTGGCCAGGAGTGTGAGGAGCCCAAATAAGGAAAGTAATTGGGGTATGGACTTAGCTGTACAAGAAGGGGAACTGACTGTCCTCTAGTCAGGGCCTCAAAATTGAGTCTAGACAGCATTTTTAAAAATTCAAAACTATATTAAAATTGACTCATTGATCTTCACATCAGTTTTGAGCTTAATTATTTGAAGAATTTGAGTTGCCCAAATAGAGGAGACTTTTGGTAAGTAGTACATATGTTTTCTATGCAGCCTAAACTGCATAGGAAACATCTAATTACGAGGGCAAATTGGAGGACAACAAGTAGAAGTATAAGGAGTCCTTGTAGGCCAGTCCATAACCAAGTCCCCCATCAGATGACATTCGCTAAGAAAACAGATCTGGAATTTCCAAGATTTCTTACAATATCTGATTGAGTTGTAAAGTATATTAAAAGTATGAGTTATGTTTTTTCATGACAATAATATCTTGGTGTATTCCCTTGTTCAAAGTGGCATGTCCAACAGTTACATTGCTGTAGGGTATGAACTGATAGATCTGTAAGGTATATGTTTGTGGCAATTGTAACTAGGAAAAAGTAGTTATGGTGGTCATGGTCAAAGATACAAGCAGGAATTTGTGGCAAACCAGAGGTGGGAAGTGGGGAAAGGTGCAGGAAAGTGGGAGGTCCTCTCCCCAGGGGCTTGAGGAGTGAAACTGTATAAGCAGTTGCCTACTGGAGAAAGCAATAATCTCCATTCATTTTTAGACTAACACAAACAGTAGTACCTTCTACCAGATTTTCCTTTAAACATGAGAATTGGGGTTGTACACTTTGGCAGAGAGCAAGAAGTACACCAGGATTATGGGCTAAGCAAACAGAATGCTTAAGAAACATAATAGAATTCCTAATATCAAAGGAACACAAGCAATAAATGTCCTGTGTCTAATTTGTCAGTGCCTTAGGAGAAGTAGACAATGAAAGTTGCTGGGCTGGTGGTCTCAGTGCCCTGGGTGAAGTTGCTTCTTGAGCAACGGACAAAGTCATTTCAAACTTCAAGGTCTTGGGTTGGGATAATATCATCTGCAATGTGGTACTAGGTTTCAAGTGAACACAAGTCTAGTTGATGTGGGTCACTTGTGATGGTGGCAATGTCATCCCTACAGGCTAGGAACTCCTATTGCTATTAACTCAGTTAATTCCAAAGTACATCCCAGATAATCAAGAGGTCTGGGAGAGGGGGTGACATTCTATAGCACCATGGCATATGGCAAGGGAGTGAGGACTCTGCAGACTACCACTCCTGCAGATGGAATAATCAAAAGGGCCCATGTTTGGCTCCATCTTGTATCAAGGAAGTCTCAGTAGCCATAACAAGCTTTGAGATTCTGCTTTTGTGATTCAAGGCATAATCAACAGTTGAGTATGGAGGGTCACAGGTTCAGAATCTATGAGAACCTTTATTACCAGGAAAACTTAGTATGTGGTCAGCAGTTTTTGCTCTCATGGAAGATAGCACAGGATCAAGAAGGGCAGATTTTTGCATGTGAAGTTCATTGACAACTTATGGCCATCAGAGGTAGTCCAGAGACTCCAGAAGTTATGAGAGGAGGTTGCTAAAGCCTCAAAAAAAGAGCACTAATGAGAGTGCCTGTTGATTTTAATTTGGATAGATTTTAGAACCTTTTGTTGAGAGTGGCTGCCATTTAAGGTTTCTTTGATAGTAGGACACAACACAATGATACGGATAGATAAGGCAGAACTCTGTTACTTGTAGCACCTAATGAGAGAAAGATGCACGCAAGGGTTGTACCTGGGGAGAGGGTAACAGCAAGCTGAAACTGTAGGGGACAATTTATATAGGATAAGTGGAGTGGAGCGAAGTTTACTAGGTTTCAGGGATTCCCTTCTATTGACTAATTTAAATAATTTTGCAGGATCCAGGACAAAAAGGCTGCTCCTAATTGTCTGGTATAGTGTCCTGGGGCAGTTAGGGCAGATGGCCCAGAGTGTGAGAGCCCAAATAAGAAAGTGGTTGGGTGTGGACCTAATCAGATGTTCAAGAATAGGAACTGACTGACTTCTAGCTAAGAAGAACCGAGACTGTATTTAAAAGAATCACACAGCCCTCAGAAAGAACTTACCCTGTTGACACCGTGATCTTGGAATTCTAGCCTCCAAAACTCCGAGACAATACTTTCTATCGTTTAAGCCACTTAGTTTGTGGTACTTCATTAAAACAGCCTTAGAAAATGAATACACACCAAACCAGTAGTGCCATTTTTGATTCCTTCCATTGTGGAGGACCAGTTACAACATATCCTCACCTCATCTCCCATGACAGTTGGCCACATCTTATCTCAGATTAGCCACATTTCAAGTAGTCAACAGAAGTTATGGCAAATAGCTAATATATTGGACACCACCATTCTAGAGAACTATTTGTTTTTATGGTCATTATGGTGTTCTAAAATTTTTGATAAAATCATTTTTCAAAGAAACAAATGTATTAATTCAGTTCATAATATCAACTGATAAAAATTCAGAAAAATAAGAATAAAAGTAACTTCCTCAACTTGATTAAGACCATCTATAAAAACTTACAGCTAACATTATACTTAAATATGAAAGATTAAATACTCTCTCCCTAAGATAGTGAACAAGGAAGGGATGCCTGTTCTCATAGCTCTTATTCGACATATTTTTGAAAGTTCTAGCCAATGCAATAAGGCAAGGCAAGAAAATAAAGGGCATACACATGAGAAAGAAAGAAATAAAACTGTTCCTATTTGAAGATGACGTGATGAAACTGTTCTGTATCTTGACTGTATCATTGTCAATATCCTTGTTGTTATCGTACTATAGTCTTGCAAAATATTACCATAGAAGGAAAATGGGTAAAGACCACATAGAATCTACCTACACTATTTCTTACAACTGCTTGTGAATCTACTATGATTATCTTAAAATAAAAAATAAATAAAATTACGAACAAATTTTATTCTGTCATTTGTAAGTGTCCCTAAAGATTTCTTCCTTGTATGTTAAAAATAACTAACTTCAATTTTTTAATTGTGGTAACTATAAACAACTTAAACTTCACCATTTTACTCATTTTGAAGTGTATAAATCATTGTCCTTTAGTATATGCACAATGTTGTGAAATCATTACCATTATCAAGTTCCAGAAGATTTTCATCATCCCAAGAGGAAACACTGGACCCACTAACTAGTCACTAACTTACCCAATCCCCCATCCTACCCTTGGCAAACACTAATCTGTTTCCTTGATAACACTGCTCTAGTCACTACCCACTCTTCCTACACTGCATGTCTTCCAAGTAATTTCATGAATAGTTGTCTTTGTCTATGCAGTCATCTTTATTTAGAATGTTCCCTTTATTCTTTGTCAGCCAATTAACTTTAAACTCTTATCTATCCTTCAGGCCTCATTCAAATTTTATCTCTTGTGTAAAGTGGTCTCTGGATTCTTCCCATTTCCATTTACCACATAATGGTCACTGTCTCTTCTATAATTCTATAACTCTGTTGTAGCAGCCAACAGGAGAATTGGCACCACAATAACTACAAATAATAGGACATTGTGAAAACCAGCATAAAATAACAATTGGTTAACATGGTTAAAAAAGGAAAAAAAAAAAACAGAAAATAAAATAAAATAACTAAATTTTTAGAAATGAAAAATATTGTCATTGAAATTAAATCTCAATGGATGGACTGAAAAAGACAGAGTAGACACAGCTAAAACAGAAATAGTAAAGTAGAAGATTAATCTAAAAAACATCAATCTCAATGCAATAATAAGATATAAAGCAAAGAAATGCAGGAAAGCAGAAATAAAATAAGTGGAAGATAGAATAAGAAAATCCAATATAAGCCAATTAGAATTTCCTGAGGAGATAGCAGAATAAATGAGTGGGTGATGACTCCTGTTTGGGAAGTTTTGATGATCAAATCAGTAACTACAAGCCCACTCATCGATGGTTATATTCTTGTTCCCAGACAAATGTAAAACAGCAGGTCACTTAAGATACATTGTTGCCTACCCAGTGGCATGTGCTCTGGACAGTCACTGTTCTATTAATCTGAGGTTCACACTCAGCAAAACAATCTCCTCTGGGGCCCAGAAAATCTGTGCAGCTGGCTTCCCTATTACTGCCTTGCATACTGCAGTTGTATTCATCCCTGAAAAAAAGGGTCACCTCTGAGGATTCTGTAGGTGAGGACAGAAAAAATTGCTTCAAGTTTAATATTAAAAAACAACAGAGTTTGTGAATATTTATTAATGATCTACTTGTAGTGTATGTTGGCCATGGGCATGGGCTCTGGAGTCAGATTATCTGGGTTCAAATTTGTTTCCTACTTTCTCCAAGCTCCGTCATCTTGCAACTTCAAGCTAAGGATAGAATGTCTTCCAGAATCTTGGGCAAATTTTAAGTTTTAGTCCTGGACCTGAATATAACATTCTGCCAATCGATGTGCTTCATCTAACACAGGGATAGCCATATTGGGAATTCCTATCAGGCATTACATGAGTACACCCACAATATACATCATGACCGATGGTCACTAGATCAATCTGATGGGCAGCATTCTGGTCAGGTTGGGAGACCCAGGTTATTCTCTCATCAATGCAGTTTATTTTCACTGTTTTATTTCTATCTTTCCTGTAGGCTTTGATGCAGAAAGGTTTGTCTATGAAAACTATTTCTCATGTTATTAACATCGCAGTTGTCAATGGGATAAGAGGTAAGAGAGCACAGCCTTTGTAGCCACTGGTATAAATAGTAAAATATTAACTGGAAGCATGAAAGAAAGTATTGATAGAGATGTCCATGGATCAATCATTATAGAGGGCACTGTTCAAAGTTTTCCAATAGAAATATCTTTTTACCTAAAACACTTTGCAAATTTTAATTGTAAATACTTTTTAAAATAAATGAAGCGTTATTAGTTTTTTATTATATGCGATAATACAATCTAATAATTAATATACATTGTCAGAATGCAGAATACATTAGGAATTGATAAACAGATTTTAAAATTCGAAGTTAGCCTGCTTATAAAAATGTTAGCTATGAGAAATCTGAATCCTAAGAGCAAAGATTCAAATCCAAATTTTCCACAGTTAGTAAGAAAGAACACAGCAAATGACCATGCCTTTTCAATATCACTCTGCTTCCGGAGCAAACAAAACAAAATCTCCCCTATAGTGGCTTAAATAGCACATATCCACTTATAAGGAGATTTACATTTACGTGTGGATTTTTTTATTTGCAAATGGAACAAAGATATAGTCTAAGAATTGTCACAAGTTCCTTTTTTTAAGACTTCCTAAAGCCTTGCTACTCAAAGTGTGATCTATAAACCATCAGTAGCAGCATCACCTGGAAGCTTGCTAGAAATGTAAAACATTAAGACTCATGCAAGGACTGTTCTAAAACTGTTGGATGGGGAAACTAGAAAAAGAAGAATAAAATTGAGCATTTTAAAAGACATAAAAAATTCTGGTGGAAAACAATCTAAAGCATCTTTCTTATCGTGGTTTCCTCTACTTCACCCTAACACCTTTTACTGTTCCCTCACACCTATAAAAGGGAGAAAATTTGTGAACAGTATCCCAAAAGCTGAAAGCATCTTCCAAAGGAAGTTCCCTTGCATTTTTTTCCTATCCTTACCTCTCTGTTTTTCTTCCACCACACCCTATACCTAGCTAAGGTCTTTTACTTCTCCTGTTCTGCCCCATAAGCACTGATGAGAAGTCCCCTACTCTTTCATTTCATTGTATTTCTTTCTGGTTATAAGAAATTTAAGAAGCAGCATTTCCTGTTTGATGAGCTGAGGTGATAATAACTGGACTTTCTGATTTGCACTTTCATGCTCATTTCTCTACAGAGAAGCATGCACATTTGACCCAATATTCAGATCCTATTGTAATCTGTTGAGCTATCTCCCAGATACTGTCAAAACAATTCTTATGAGGGATGTGTCATTATATTCTTTTTTATAAATAAGAAAATAGAAAGTCAGAAAGGTTAAATAACTTATCCTAAGTCAGTTAATGATATATCTGTAGAACCAGGACATAAACCACAATCTTTTCATGGGTCATTTTCCTTCCCTTGCATTGTATTTTTTGTGTGTCTATGTATATTGATTTGGTAATTTGTTGTGTGGTTTATGAGAGAAGCCAGACATAATCTTTCCCTCTAGAAGTATGCAGTTTAAAGAGATAGAAAGCATTTAAAAAGTAAAACACTCATAAAGATCATAATACAAATAGTTCTCCATTCCCATGACCCCCTTCCAAGTAGAAGACACGGGCTGATGTTAGAGGAGTGTCTGGAAGCAGGCATTAAAGCCAAAGGAGACATTTTACTTCAATTCATCAAGTACATCCTATGCACAAACCCTGGACTTTCACCCTGCTCAGATGCGGAGAGGACAAGGCACCAAGAAAATGCTGGCTGTTCCTAATCTAAATGTTGGCCTGGCATTTTTCAGGCACCTCCCACTTGGCTCCATCTCTGCATATGCAGCTGCCCCTTGCTCTTTCTGAATGTGGCCCTAGTGGAAGATTGTCCCTGCTGCAAACTAACAGGAGATGCCACTGCCCACTGCACAAGCTCAGACACTTCATGAGCTACACACTAGGTCCTCCTCGCCTCCACCACTGGCCTGCGCACTCTCCCTCATACTTTCACACTCTGCTAACAATGTTAGACTCCTCTGCTTCATAATTTTAACTTTATTTTTTCTTCTTTATTCTGTTTGTTTCTGGCTAAAGCATTCTATATTCTGTCTCCTGCCACAAAGTAGAGAGTAGAGAAGTAAGGGAAAGCAATCGACTGATGCAATGCAGAGTCCGAGGTAAAGACTGAAGGAGCTGACAGGTAGGCAAAAGCTTCCACTCATAAATTCTCTTTACACCTCCTTGAACACACAATAATCTTGCCCTTTGAATGTGTTCTACTAAGAAATGATTAACACTGGTTTCCGTTTGGTTACTCAAAGGAATGATTAATGACTTCTTATGAAAAAGATAGGAATTGATTGTATACTTGTTAACTTTCCAAACTACATACTTATCAGCAGGATCAGATTCTTGTCACCAGATAGACAGTTTCTCAACACATTTGAAGATGAAGTTTGGAATTTTTTAATTGGGGCATTTTGTTAATGTCTTAGTTATGATAGTATATCAAGAATTTAGCAAAATGTTATCATTGGGGCAAACTGGGAATAGTACACAGAGATTATTGTGTTATTGTATATATTCTTTTATATAATACAATATGATTATTGTATATATTATCTCTGTATTATTTTTTACAATTGCATGTAAATCTATAATTTCAATAAAAATTTCAATTAAAGAAGTGGAAGTCAGATCTATAGCTTGATTCTTGAAGTTGGTAAATTTTACACAATAAAAAAGAAGTTAATTGCAAACTTACAGAACTTGCTAGTCTAATTCAGAACGTAAAACAGGAACAGAATAAAATAATTTAAGATATTACCATATACATGATCCATACATAAGATACACTTCTAGGTAATTAGAATATTCTGTAGTTCATTATTACATTTAAGTTTTAGGGGAATTCACACCCTCCCAAAAATGTTCTTTAGTACCTCTTATAGAGATTTAATATAGTATTTGGAAGTTTGTGGATATCATCTCTAACATCAGTCACTGGAAGTTTTTTTTAACACATTTATCACTTCACATAATACTTGTTATTTTTTGTGGTAAAAATGCTTAAAATCTACTCTCTTAGCAAATTTCAAGTGTATAATACAGGATTATCGACCATAGTCACCATGCTGTACATTAGATACCCAGAACTTATTTTTCTTATAACTGAAGTCTTGTATCCTTTGACCAGCATCTTTCCACTCCCTGCACATTCCAACTCCTGATAATCACCATTCTACTCTCTGTTTCTATGACTGACTTTTTTCCTTTAGATTACACATATAAGTGATACCACACAACATTTGTCTTCTCTGTCTGGCTTATTTTACTTAACATAATTCCCTCAAGGTTCATTCATGTTGTTACAAATAATAGGATTTCCTTCTTTTTTAAGGAGGGCGGCATACCCCAGACTCCATGACCTGGCTTTGTCTAACTCTTCGTCTAACTGTTCCTTTGTATCCTTTATAATATCTTTTATAATAAACTAATAATTATAAGAAAGTATTTCCCTGAGTTATGTGTCATTATAGCAAATTATGGAAACTTGTTGTGGGAGGAGGGCTCATCTTATGGGAACCCTCGATGTGTAGCCAAGTCAGATGAAAGTGTGAGTATCCTGGGGACCCACTACTTGCAGTTGGCATCTAAAGGCAGGGGGCAGTTTTTTGGTACTGAGCCCTTAATCTGGGGGATTCATGCTAACTTCAGATAGTTAGTGTCAGAATTGAATTAAATTGTCAATTATCCAGTTGCTGTCTACAGAGAGAATTGCTTGATGTGGAAAATCCACACATATCGTGTCAGAAATGTATAAGTAGACAGTTATTATTGAGTAATTAGAACAAAAAAGTCATCCAGATTGAAAAGGAAGAAAATAAACGGTCTCATTTGCAGATGTCATTATTATCTATGTAATAAACCTGAAAAAAATCTTCAAAAAAGCTATTAGAACCACTAAGTACATTTATCAGATCGTAGATTATATAAAATTAATATACAAAACTCAATTGTATTTTTATGTAATATCAAAGAACAACTAGAAATTTAAATTTAAAAAGCAATATCATTTACAATTGCATTAAAGAGTATGAAATACAGTATGTAGGAATAAATCTGACTAGGATGTGCAAAAGCTGTACACACAAAATTACAAAAGTTGCAAAAAGAAATTAAAGAAGACCTAAATAAATGGGAGATCTATTGTGCTCATGGATTGCAAGACTTGATATTGCTTAAATATCAATTCTTCTCAAATCAATATGCACTTCTACATAATCCAATCAAAATTTTAAAAGGCTTTTTTTTGCAGACTTTGACAAACTGCTTCTAAAATTCATATGGAACCATAGGTTATTTGTCTTTCTTTGCCTGGCTTATTTCACTTAGCATAATATTCTCTAGATCCAACCATGTTATAGCAAATGGCAAGATTTCATTTCTTTTTATTGCTGCGTAATATTCCATTATACACTCTCTCACACACACACACATACACACATGCACACACACACATATTTTAAATGATGGGGTAATGAACAGAGGGGTGCTTATATCTTTTCAAATTAGTGTTTTTGTTAATACTAAATACTCAGAAGTTGAATTGCTGGGTCACATAGTATATCTATTTTTGTATTTTTTTAGGAATCTCCATACTGTTTTCCAAAGGGGCTGCGCCAGTTTGCAGTCCCATCAACAGTACACAAGGGCTCCCTTTCCCCATATCCTTACCAACACATGTTATTTTGGTGACTTTTTGATAATAGCCGTTCTGATTGGTATAAGGTGGTATCTCATGGTTTTGATTGTTTCGAGCATCTTTTATATATCTATTTGCCATCTATGTCTTCTTTGGAGAAATGTCTTTTCATGTCCTCTGCCCATTTTCCAATCAGACTGTTTATTTTTTAGTTATTGAGCTATATGAGTTTTTTATATACTTTGGATATTGACCCCTTATTAACTACATCATTTGTGAATATATTCTCTCATTCAATGAGTTGTCTTTTTGTTTCATTGATGATTTCTTCACTGTGTAAGTTTTTTTCATTTAATGAAGTCCCATTTGTTTATTTTTGCTGTTGTTTCTCTTGCTCAAAGGAACGTCTCCAAAAAGATATCACTGTGACTGATGTCGAATAGTTTACTTCCTATGTTTTCATAAGACAAATGTGGGATATACAAATAAATAAAGAAACAAAAATAAATAAATAAATAAATAAACAAATAAAATGAAAACAGACTCATAGAAACAGAGACAAAAGGAATGGTACCAAAGAGGAGGGGGTGAGGGATTATAGTCAATAACATTGTGATAGGTTTGCAAGGTGACAAATGATTATTAGAATTAATGAGGTAATCACATTATAAGGTATAGAAATGTCGAGTCACTATGTTATGCACTTGAAACTAATATAACCAATATAACGTAGTATACCAACTATATCTAAATTTTAAAAATTAAAATAAATTAAGTAGGAAAAAATGAGCACACAATAGGTCCAATAAAATGCCTATTAAATAAATTATTGAATGCAAAGAGTGAATGAGGGAATGAACATATGAATATGTAAATAGATGGACTGGTAAAAAAACTAAAAGATAAAATAAAATAAAAATAAAATTTACATGAAAATGCAAAGTACCTAGTATAGACAAAACATCTCTGAAAGAGAACAAAGATAGAGAGCGAACACTACCTAATTTCAAGACTTATAGATCTACAAGACGATATGATACTGGCATAACAATAAACAAATAGTTTAATAAAATATAACAGATAGTCCATAATAAACCCATATATATGGACACAAAGGATTTTTGACAAAGATTAAAAAGCAAATTAGTGATGCTGGAATATCCATATGGTTATCCATAAGCAAAAAAAAAAAAAAAATGAACTTTATATCTCATACCATTTACAAAAATTACGTAAAAATAGATCATAGATCCAAGTGTATAATAAAACTATAAAACTTAAATAAAACAGAGGATAAAATCTTTGTTACATTGGGTTAGAAAACATTTTTCAGATGCAATACCAAAAACATAGTTCATTAAAAAAGTTGATAAATTGATCAAAATCAAAAATGTCTCCTCCTTAAAAAAAAATCCCTTTTTCAAAAGACAATATACACTGTAAAGAGATTGAAAAGGACTTATACTCAGAATAGGCAAATAATTTTCAATAAAGAAACAAACTACCCAGTTTTTTTAAATGAGGAAAACATGTGAGCACTTACTAAAGAAGATATATGAGTGGTACATAAGTATATGATAAGACAGTCAACATCATTAGTCTTTAGGGAAATACACATTAAAACCAAAATGAGAGAGCAATACACACCTATTAGGATACCTAAAATTAAAAAGACTGACCATATCATGCGTTAGTAAGGATATAGGAGAACTGGAAATCTCATACACCGATAAGAGGAAATGTAAAATAGTACAACCAGTTAGAAAAACAGTATGACAATTTCTTTGAAATTTAAACATCCACCTACCATATGATTCAGTTAAACCACTCAGGTTTTTACCCAGGAAAAATAAAAGCACATGTCCACAGAAATACTTGCACAAGAATGTTTATAGTTTTATTTGTAATAGCCTGAAACTGGAAACAACCCAAATGTCTATCAACAGATGAATGGATAAACAAACGATGGTATATCCACGTAATTAAAAATTATTTAGCAATTAAAATAATAAACTATTAATGTGTGGAAGGATTTCAAAATAATTATGTTAAGCAAAAGAAGCCAGACTCCCCTCCCCCCCAAAAAAGGAGTACATATTGTATGGTTACATTTAGATAAAAATCTAGAAAATATAAATTATTATAAAGTTAAAGAAAGCAGATCAATGGTTGTCTCAGGGGGAAGAGGAGCAAGAGTTTAAGAATAGCATTACAAAGAAGAATAAGAAAAATTTGAGGATTGATAGATAAGTCCATTATCTTGACTGTGCTGATGGTTCACAGGTTTAAAATTGTCAAAACTTAACAAATTGTACACTTTAAATATGTGTAAATTTTAACAAATTGTACTTCTTAAACGAATCATTAGGCCACAATGAAACTGTTTTTAGGTGTTCCTAAATGAAAAATAACCACTAATCGATGTATATTACAGTGGATAGATAATTTTTTAACTACTAGAAGTGAAAGAAAAGAAAACAAAATTAACCATTCCAGCAAAGCAATGTAAAAGAAAAAATAAAATAGTGCGGGGGTAAAAAGCATAGCAAATGAGGCATATAACATAAGATTTTAGAAATATGACCTAAAATACAAGTAATCAAAACAACTGTATGGTTTAAATTATTTTATTAAAAGTTAAAATTCTCAAAGAGCTAATTAAAAATCAACTGTATCTTTTTGACAAAAAAACAAAACCTATAGCTTCTTTTTAATAGGTGTGCCTAAAATAAAATGTCACAGAAAAGTTGAAAATAAAGAGAGACAGATGATGACATAAAAGACAAATATTAACCAGTGAAAGGATGGACTGGGAAGCCAAGGTGATGTGCTGTTCAGAATACCCATCAAAAAAGAATTTACCATGCAGCTGCAAGGAGCGCAATTAGCTGATAGTCTCAAGTTGTTAACACCTTCAGGATTCCATTTTTGCTTTTGAGCTGAGGTCATACTCTTCCCAGCCAATGACTATGTGTGAAGAAGTATCAGAATTTGGCCATTTCTACTCATGAAAGACTCTTCTTAGAAGCTATCTTTGCTCCAGGGCTTCTTGGTTTGGCCTTGGTTTGACAGTTCTATGTAGTGATCGTAGGCTCTCCCTCTTATATCCTGCTTCCTTGCCTTTCCTTTCATAGATTTCATTCAGATCAGCATCATGATCTAAAAGCTTTCCCTTCTATATCCTACTTTCTGCTCCTTTAATCTCTCACAGGTATGCCTCTCTCCCTCAATTGAGCTTTATATCTCCTAACTCCATTTAGCCTCTGCTTCCTGGAGGATCTACATGATCCAATCTAGATTTTATGAATAAGCAGGTCAAAAGTGGATTTGAGGGATTTATGTACAGTGGTCCTCCCTAATCTAAGGTTTTGCTTTGCACGGTTTCAGTTACCTATAGCCAAACAATATCTGAAAATATTACATGGAAAATTCCAGAAATAAACGATGTATAAGTTTTAAATTGTCCACTGTTCTGAGTAGTGTGATGAAAGCTTGAGCTGTCTTGCTTCATCCCTCCTGGGATATGAATCACCCCATTTACCAAGGTATCCACACTCTCTAGGTTATCCACCTGTTAGTCGCTTAGTAGCCAACTCAATTTCAGATCAATTGTCCTTGTATCACCATGCTTGTGTTCAAGTAACCCTTATTTTACTTGATAATGGCCCCAAAGCACAAGAGTAGTGATGCTTACAACTCACATAAGCCAAAGAGAAACTATAAAGTACTTCCTTTAAGTGAAAAGTTATGTATGTATAGGGAAAAAATACACAGGACACTTAGGGTTCAATTTCAGGCAGCCAGTGGAGGTCTTGAAACATATCCCATATAGATAAAGGAGACTATTGTAATTTTTTATTTCCTCACATCCATCACATCCTCACATTCAATCACATTTAACATTCCTGTAGTGGAAGATTTTAATACATTTTTTGTTGTGCAATATAACTTAGAATTTAGAAAACATCTTGAAGTCTTTTCTATGGTGTCATTTGACATGGCTGTTTTGACATTATCAAATTAAAATATAAACACAGCTTTTTCATTTTTGTTTTTCAGTAATATTTAAACAGATATTCTTGAACCTAGCTAACTCTGAGTCTCATCCAAACCAGGATGATTGAAGAATTAAGAAAAGGTCAAGGACCAGGTTATGATGTCTATTGTACACACTGCTCAGTAATATTTACATGGGAAGTTTAATGGATTGTTTTTTGGGCCCAGTCAAATGGTATCAAAATGATTTGGTCAAATATCATGTGTTAAGTATCATTATATTAGTTTTACATCTAAATAGACTAAAAATTATTTTAAGAGTAAAACCTGAAGGAACAGAATCTTTGGAGGAAGAAAAACATATTAATAAGACAAAATAGCTGTCTTCAATGTTTTGAATGCATAGTTGAAGAACAAATGGATATTGTTTTAATTTCTACCATGAGGAAAAATTTTAATGTTTTTCCTGCTGTAAGAAAACAGATTTATTTTTTCATAATTTTGTATAAATAAAATATATTTTTATAATGTCAAAAAATGATTGGTATACACAGTCCTAATATTTTATTCCACAGAAAAATGGAGGGGAGGGTCAGACCATCTTTTTTATTTTTAATTATGGTGAAATTGGTTAATGAAATCCAGTAAGTTTCAAGTGTACAATTTAGCAGTAAGACATATATAAGACCATCTTTTATAGATTTACAAGTCCTACTTATGCATATTTAGTTGCTTATATAGTCAATGAACAATTGTTATTTGATAAATATAACAATAGAATGTATACTATAAAAATACATATTTCCAGTTTATCATATGTGCAACATCTTAAGCATAAGATATTAGATATCAATACCTCTATAGAGATATAACAAGCTCAGAGGAAGCTAATGTCTCATACATATTCTCATTCTCTCTCTCTATCACAATCTCTCTTTCTCTCTCTCAAACATGGCAGAAAGATATGTCTGGTTTATTAAATAATATGATTCTTATTATAATCTTACATTATATTAGCTAACTGATTGATTGAAAACAGAAAGTGAGAATCTTGCAGATATTAAAATAACTGTAAAGGCACATTCAAACACAGTTGAAGGGAATGTAAATTGATACAATTTGACATATCAATCAATACTAAAAATGCACAAACCCTTTGACCTGGCAATTCCACTCAAGGAAATTACACTATAAATATACTCAAACAAATACAGAGACATATATCCACAAGAAACATACTATATGGCATTGTTGATAATAGCAAAACAAAACTTAAAACAATCTAACTTATCACTAGATTTGTGCTTAATTAAATAATGACACAACCATACAATAAAATTTTATGTATCTATCAAAAAGAATGAGGTAGCTCTGCTTCTGTTGATAAAAGATAAACTATCTTCAAGACATATTGTATTAGTTTTCTATAAGTACAGAACAGCATTATAACATGTTCCCATTTCTGTGTTGACAAGGAAACGTGTATGCATATCTAAATAGACATATAAGTGTACACATATACCATGTCTATACAGACTTGTCACATGCACATATAATTTTCTGAAAGAATACATAAAAACTGTTGATGATTGCTTCTGCAGAGTTATTTCTTGAGGAAACTCAGTTTTCATTATCTACTACACTGAATAATCTGAATATTTTATCATGAACATGTGCTTTCTTAGTAATAGATCAGTTCTTCAGAAAACTAGCTGGTAGCAGCTAAGATTTTAAAATTTCAATTGTATAAAGATATGAATGCAAATCCTTTAGAATGTCTCTGTCTTCTAAGAATCTTTGAAAAGCTCATTTCAAAAATAGGTCTTTCTTCCTAGAATGCTAAGAAAATCAAAACAATAACTGTGCTGTATCTTGATTCATTTCTTCTGGTGCTAGATTCCAGTAATTTATAAAGTATGAAGATCCATCTTATTAACTTCACTTTATAACACTTGAGGTGTCTTCACTCTGTTTGTAGTGTCATAGAGTGGATTATTCTTCTCTGTATAGCTAGCATAGGGCTGCATTTCATCCTAAGAAAGATCTCAAAGTCAAAATCAATTCAAAAAAGTAAAAAATCATTACAGAAATTACCTGTGTTTTTCTAACAGGTACCCACAGCTTTAGTATCTACCAATAATGTTTATATGTTTGTCTCTGGCCTTACATGAACATAGAGTAAGATTTCTTTTTTACTATTTTATCAAAAAATATTTATTTATTACTTAAGTCCTAGTGTCAGATGATAAAATTTGAGTAAAAGTAGGAATAAAGAAGAATTAAGTGATATGAGAAATATTTCAGAGGAGAGGATCAAAGACTTAGTAAGCTACAGTAATAAGAGATTGAGTAAAAGAGGTTTAAAACTTGGGTTAGAGCGAAAAGATGATAATATTTAAAAAAGGAAGTTAAGGATTAGAGATGGTTTCATAAGGGAGAAAACACCAATCCAGTTTCTCCAAAGATAGCAGTCCAAATGAGGCAAACATTATGTGTTTTGTAAAATGCAGTTCATAAAATGAAAATATGGATTTTCAGTGGTGTATAAATAATACTTGATAGATAATTAACAAAATAAGCACATCTAACTATTAGCATTTGTAAAATCAGAATTTTTACTTTTCAACTAAAATATGAATATTGAAGCAAATTTCAAATTTTGTGGCTAGATTTTCAGACTACATGGCTTAAAAAAATTGCATATATTCTTTTAAATCTTACCTCCTCAACTGGAGTAGCTTCTGTTTTTTTCAATTTACATTTTCTGTAAAAATAAAAATAAACTGGAATGAATGCAGGAAACATCATTATTTATATTGAAAATAGAAAAACAAAACAGTATACTATTGACAGTTACTATTCATTTTGGTGGAAGCCATGATAAATCAGACATGAACTACCAGAAACAAGTGAAGAAAGCTGCTTGTAATTAATAATACCCAAATAAGCTAATTCTGGATTTTGGAAAAGGAAATAAAATTATGCAATAGAAGCTTGATGTAATAGAATATATGTGACACCTCCTCTTTGGAACATGAAATAAATTATGGCAATTCTTTTCTCAAATAATAAATTAGCATGCACTCTCTCTCCCAAAATCTTGCCCTCAATGGCCTAATTCACTATGCTTGCCTGCCATGATAAACTAGCAAAATTCCTCTCATCATTCAGAGTAGTCCAATTCTAACCTTCAGATTATGAGAAAAATGATGTTAACATCTTAATTATACCCAGTCAAATCCCTATTCTTGGCCCCTTTCTAACCCAATAACGTTGAAGAAGAAAAAACATCAGTTAATACCTGCAACCACTGATTTTCAAGAACCAAATGGATCCCACGATGACCAAAATAATAAAAATAGGGAGGATGATATATAGAATACTTATGTTTTCCAGCATTTGGGCACCTGCATATATAGACACAAAAATATATGGTTTAATATTATTCAGCACTAAAAAGTAATGAGCTATCAAGCCATGAAAAAACATGGAGGAAACTAAAATGCATATTACTAAATGCAAGAACCAATCTGAATAGCCACATACTGTATGATTCCAGCTATATCTGAAAAAGGCAAAACTATGGGGATGGTAAAAAGATCAGGTGTAGCTAGATGTTAGAGTAAAGAGAAAAATGAATAGATGGAGCATAGAGGATTTTTAGGGCAGTGAAACTACGTCGTATGATTCTATAACGATGAATACATGTCATTCATACATTTGTTAAAATTCATAGAATGTACACCTAGAGAAAACCTTAATGTAAACTATGGACTTTCGGTGATAATGATGTGTTAATGTAGGTTCATCTATTATAACAAGTGATTTGAGGCATAGAGAGAGAGAGAAAGCTGTGCATGTGTTAGGGTAGCAGATGTATAGAAATTTGCTGTGCTTTCCACTCAATTTTTCTGTGACCCTAAAACAACTCTAAAAATTAAAGTGTATTAAAAAATAAAATACATATAGACATATATGTTTAAATGATATGGCACAATACATAAAATTTACTTATGTGATTTTATTTTAAACACTTTTGACCCATTAATCATTCAAATAATTGTTATAATAAAATTTCTTTATCAATTAAAACTCTATGGTTTCCAGCATGACATCATCTTATGGCAGAATTTTGTTGTTTTAAGGATTCATGAATGATCATTTCCTATAGGAGAGGTGTAAAATTTTGATCTATCTTCTATAATAATAGCAGAATTTCTTATCTAGAATATTCAGAAACAAATAGTAAATTGTAATGGAATTAGTTGGAAAGATAACCCTAATTCTGAAGACACCTTTTTACTAGGGCGTTGGAACTAAAATGAATGCGTGGCAGTATCTTGATACAGCATCCATTTATGACTAAAACACTTAAAAAATGGATATAAAAGGAAAGTACTTCAACATAATTACAGCCATATACGACAAACCCTTAGCTTATATCATATTTAATGGTGAAAAACTAAAAACCTTCCCTCTAAGATCAAGAACAAGACAAGGCTGTCCACAATCACCACTCTTATTCAATACAGTATTGGAAGTCTTAGTTAGAGCAATCAGGCAAGAGAAAGGAATAACAGGCATCCAAATTGGGAATGAAGAAGTCAGATGGTCGTTTTTTGCAGATGACATAATTCTCTATATAGAAAACCATAAAGATGCCACAACAACAACAAAAACCTACTAGAAACAATAAACAAATAAAGTTTTAGAATACAAAATCAACATATAAAAACCCATAGCATTCCTATACACTAACAATGAATTTTCAGAAAAAGAAATGAAAAAAATTCCTTTCGTGATCGCAACAAAAAGAATAAAATGCCTAGGAATAAACTTAACAAAGCATGTGAAAGACCTATACACTGAAAACTGTAAGACATTAAAAGAAATTGAAGGAGACACAAAGAAATGGAAAGATATTTCGTGTTTATGGATTGGAAGAATCAACATAGTTAAAATGAACTTATTACCCAAAGTAATATACAGATTTAATGCAATCCCCATTAAAAACCCAATGGCATTTTTCAAAGAAATAGAACAAAAAAATTACCAGATTTGTATGGAATCACAAAAGATTCAAAATAGCCAAAGAAATCTTGAGAAAAAAACAAGGCTGGAGATATCACACTGCCTGACTCAAATTATACTACAAAATGACAACAATCAAATAGCACCATATTGACAGAAGAACAAAAACACAAACCAATGAGACAGAATTAAGAGCCCAGAAATAAACTCCAGAATATATGGGCAAATAATTTTCAACAAAGGAGCCAAAAACATACAATGGAAAAAAGAATGCCTCTTCAATAAATGGTGCTGGGAAAATTAGAAAGCCACATGCAAAAGAATAAAACTAGGAAGAGTTTGGAGAAACATTATGGAATGAGAGACGTCCCTAAATCTCTCTCCTTGAACATCTAAAACTCAAAACAAAACAAAACACCCAAACTGCACACCAGCATGTCTGAGCATGGGATCTGCGCATAAGAGCTACCACAGGTCAGAACCCAGGGTGTCAGGCTGTGGACTCTGGTGGCTCTCACAGCCACCAGAGCTCCCTGTAGGAGGAGGGAAAGGGGAGAAGGTGTGGTGAGTTCCCTGAACAGCCCTGCCTGGGAAAGCTATGAGCTCCACCTGGCCAGCAACAGGGCCCAGTCATCAGGGCAGAAAGTGGAGAAGTGGGACAACAGAGAAACAACAGTTGATTTTTACTAGCCATGGATGCAAAACTGAGGCTGAGCTGCAGCCTCCAACTCACAACCCAGAGGGCCCCTCCCCCCATTCCCTCCGAGACCAAACACTGTGGAGTCTCAGGGGAATCTGAGCAAACACTACCAAAACTGTTGCTAACACCGACAGGGACTAAGACTAAGAGTAGTGATCACAATTAAACATCTCTAAGAGAAAAAAAGGCATTATTAAAACTTTATGTAAAGCAGGGATCTAAAAGGCTTAGATGCCACCGACTGGAAACCAAAAGAAAAGTGCCTTCTTTGCAACAGGCTAAAGAGAGATCTTTATATAATAAACCTTTCTGGAAAAAAAGCTGAATACATTTCCATTAATTCCCAGGCAGAGAAACAGTCCATTAAACACCTTAAACACCATGAACAACCAAAGTGACAAGGCATCTCAGAAAGAAAGAGAAAAATCTCCAGAAAATAAGCATACATAGAAATATGCAACTTAAATGACAAAAAATTCAGGGTAGTACTTCTAAAAAAACTCAGTGAGTGCTGAAACGAGTCATATAAACAATTTCACGAATTGAAAAAACAACTAGATGAGCAAATCGAGGAGACTGAAATCCTCAAAAAGAACGGAATAAATCTTCTGGAGATAAAAAAAAAAAAAAAAACACTGCAAGAGTTGAAAAATGAAATAGCAAGTTTGAGAAATAGACCAAATGGATGAAAGGATCAATGATATTGAAGACAAAAATCTAGAAATAAATCAGAAGGAAGAAGAGAGAAATCGAAGAATGAAAAATAATGAAAGAGAAATACAAGAACTAGCTGACACTATCAGGAGAGGAAACATATGAATAATGGTGAGAAGGTGAGAAAAAGGAGCAGGGACTAGAAAGCATTTTCAGACAAATAGTTGACAAGAATTTCCCAAATCAAAGGAATGAGCTGAAGCTTGGAATTCAAGAAGTCAACAGAACACCCAATTATTTCAAGCAAATGGCATTCAGAGAAAAGTGGGAGTAGTGGTACTAATATCAGATGAAATAGACTTCAAAATAAAAAAGGTAATGATAGAAGACATAACATTTATTAATATCTATGCTCCCCATCAGGGAGCCCCGAAATATGGAAAGCAATTACTAACTGAACTAAAGGGAGAAACAAACCAAAACACTATTGTAGTAGGGGACCTAAATACCCCACTGTTGGATATGGACAGATCATCCAAACAGAAAATCAATAAGGAAATAACATCCTTAAATGACACCTTAGACCAACTGGACATAATTGACATTTACAGAGCCTTCCATCCCTTATACATTCTTCTCTAGTGTACATGGAACATTCTCAAGAATCAACCACATACTGGGACACAGACGTAGCCTCAACAAATATAAGAGAGTTGAAATCATAGCAACCTATTCTTTGATCATAATACTCCGAAATTAGAGATCAACTGCAAAAAATAATCAGGAAGAGCCACAAATATATGGAGATTAAGCAACATGCTACTGAAGAATAATTGGGTCAGAAAAGAAATAAAAAGAGAGATCAAGAGATATATAGAAATGAATGATAAAGATAGTACAACATGTCAAAACTTTTGGGACACAGCAAAAGTGGTCATAAGAGGAAAGTTA